AAGGCCATCCACCAGTTCAGAGAATTCCGAGGACTTCATGGCCAGGTCTTCTCTGGGCTGCAGCCAAACGGCACCATAGGAGGATCAGTGACCCTCGCCGGAAAACTGCAGACCGACGGTACTTGTACCGGAACCACCTTTACCGAAGATGGAACAACATGGGAGAATGTGGTAGTCACCGCTACTGTGACCATAACCATTAAAGACTACGAAGCTACCCTGAAACTAGACCAAGACGAAGTCGTCTTGCACGGTGGCTACTCGTGCTCTTTCCTAAGTGGTTACTGCATTGACGCAGTAATGGGAGAAACCGCATGGGATCCAGTTACCCCCCAGGAGTGCAACTCCTATGCCACCTTATACAACGGTCAAGGATACCTTGTTCGTCAGAAAAACACCTCTAACCCCATTATGTACGTCGTAGTGGAGGACGGAGACAGAGTCTTTGCACTCTCCCTCATTAAAACAGCAACGATCTGTGGAACCCTGGTATGGCAAACAGAACATCCAAAGCTACTCGTGCTCGAAAAAGAACCAGGAGCGCGTATGCTGAACTGGGGAAATCACGCGAGAAAAGAAAACATCGACTTAACAGTATACGTGAACTCAAAATTCTTGTATATGGAACAGTCACTGAAAACATCGATCGATCGAGCGTACGCCCACACAGTCCACCGGCGTTGCCTCCTTAGAAGGGAAATTCTCTTGAATAGATTGGTCCTTGCACCCCTATCACCTAACACCATCAGTACTTTGGTCAAGGGACAGGCCGGCTTTGTGGGAAAAGTAGCCGGCGAAGTCTTGTACATTCTACAATGTGTCCCACGAATAGTGGAGAGACAACGAGAAACAACCTGCTACGCAGAACTACCCGTGAAAGTAGACAACACTAGCTATTTCATGTCGCCAATCACACGTATTCTACAGCGATACGCCGAACAAATGGAATGCAATTCATTAATTCCCCCACTATACTACATCAACAACAGATGGACTAGTTTTAGTCCCAATCCGGGTACCGCCTATACACCAGCCATCCTAGAGGTGGACACCGAGACCAAACTAACGTTCAACCCGATCCAAAACCTAGGAGCCGGAGGAATATACACCGCCCAAGAAATACGCGAGGCCCAAGACGCTATGCTTTTTGGGATTCGAGCGAAAGGCTTTATCAAATATCTTAACGCGGAAAATGGTTGGTCAAAACGTAGAAACTCAGGGAGTATCTCTACTCCACATGTTTAGCGCAGAGGAAATAGAAAAATTGGCCGAATCAGCTCTAGACAAGATGTGGGGATGGTTTCGGTGCATTGGTACCTGGACGAGCGGATTAATCGGCATCTACTGCATCATCAGGTTTATCAAGATATTAATCGAAATCCTAATCAACGCCATTGCAATACAAAAGGAACATGGCTGGTCTTTCAAGATATTAGCTAGCTTCTGGGATACCATGACAATTTGGCTACTACACAAGAAACACAAGAAGGACGTAAGTAGCAGGCTACACCGAACGCTGGGCCATCTGAACGAAACCGACCACGGTGATCCAGCTGTTCTTCGAGATCCCAGCCACATAGCAAACGCCCCTACTCAAGCGCTAGCAACTTCTGCCGACGATTCAAATATTACTTCTACTACTTCCCCCACGCTCCTTACACGTAACGGTACGGTTTATACCGGGCTGAATCAGGCAGCCCAAGACCTCAAAAATGACCAGGCACACACCTGAATTTAAATCAATCACCAACTACTATCATCCCTAATCTATTATAGCATTCTATTCTTTAATCACTTATATAAGGGCAGAACGCATGCGTAACGTGGGCAGTGGAGATTTGGGCCAGACGGAAAATCTAACCGCCTGAAGAAGTTCACCTCTTCTGAAAAACGGGCAATAACCGAACCAATGGCCACATTAGCAAAAGGGACAACTTCTACCTCTTGTCCACTCAGTGTGGGGATACCATTTCCCTATACCTACAGCACGGCAATGTTCCTGGACCAAACCAAAGTCGATCCACGGAACTACAGTACACCGCACGTTGCAATACAGCCAATTCCACCCCCGTAGAGGGGGCGGTGTGGGAAATACTCATCGTGATCCTCGAGTTAATCGCCAATATCTACTCCTTTGTTTCATGTTTTATCTCATCGTTCGAGCTCGGAGTGCCAGTTGGCGTCCACGAGTGACTACCACCAACACGAGCCGGCCACCCACTCCGACATACCTCGGGTTCACATGGGGCTTCCCCGGACGCAACCTCGTATCAAGGCCAGCCTCTTGGCATGATTCCCACTGCTACGACATCCCAGCGCAACCTCCCAGACCTGTCACATTTCTGGGTCCGCAACGTGCAACCTTGCCAGATGGTCCCTCGACGTCGCCACCCGACCCTCAAACAGCACCAGCTCATGAACGCAGTCACAACCCAACCACCTGGGAGACTTCCAGCAGTATTTCTCGTGCTGTGTCATCTAAACCATCACAAATTCAGTGTAGTGCGCGAGGTGCAGTGCTGTATCAAAACATCTCCAATCGATTAGCCACGATTATGGAAACTGAGTTATATTCATTCACGGACGAAGAAGACCACGTCGAGAAAGAACACTCACCGCTTCGTAATGACGAAGGAAAGCAGAGTTACCAACCCCGGAGTCCCAATGCCCAAAAGGGACTAGCTTAGCATGCCCGGCAACCAAACTTGTGAGCTAGTAGCGAGGATACGCATTTTAACATTCACACCTTAATAAACCTTTCAAAAATAATACCCTCACTACTGGACCGTGTTACCATGGTTCTGTACGTAATCATAAGTCTTGTGAGAAAATACGAGCACCTTGAGGCTCATATTTTCATCTTAAAACGGGGAGTGTTGTGGTGAACCGGAATTTCAACCCTTAAAATAGCCCTACTGTGGCACATAGTATTTTTTCATAACGAGCCTACTCTTCATTATCATGGGAACCAAAAGTCCGAACTTCCCAGTATTATCAGTTAACATAATCTTCAAAGCAAGCGATCGCTTCCCTTGGCCCCACACAGTCACACTTCCTTCCAGGAATAGTCGGCAAAACGCATTCTATGCCCTAATATGGGGAACATCTTCGTGTCCAATCAAATCACTCCAATTGCAGTTAACATACAAAGTTGCATGGGAAACCTGGGGTCAATGCAAACACTTGCGATCAAGGCCAATAAGTCTGACGAATTCGTTATCATTCTGGGTGGTCCGACGGCAATTAATTATGGGAAATTCACTTTTACAAACACTCGCCGCCGTTTCCGGCGACAAAATTGCGACAAATGGTTTTTTTTTTGTTACATTTTCTTCGATATTCTCACGTTTGAAAACCCTAAAAAACGCCCGGATTAGAATTAAAATTCAATTCGATTCCGATTCAGTCTTGCGTGCGGATGGAGCTGGTTCCTAGTCTGATCGCGATGCCTGACTTCCGGCCGCTGTGCTAGTGCCAAGTGCGAAAGAGCATCTTTTAACCCGACCTCCATTGAGTGACAGTGGCGCTTCGCCAAGGTTCCCTCTCCGATTTTCCACACAACCGCTGAATTGCTGACATGTAAGTCGATGATCCACCGTGTAGGATCAGCTTTTTCCGGCTTGATGTGGGCCCTCCGTGCCGAACAGCAAGGGTTCGTGCACCCCGTTTCTCAATTTAACAAACGGACAGTTCTACCTTATCAAGGCCCGTGCGCCACCCTCAGGCTCGTCCATACATTATGAGCGCCTGGAGTAACTGAGAGCGCAACCCGCTACCCTTCCGGGCACTCTTGACCCTGTTACCACGATCGGTCGCAACACCCCATCAACCCTCCGTTAAATGTTATAAGCTAGTTTAATGTTCATATTTAATACTCCTCTATGTTTTTTTATTACGCAGACATGAATTTATACTCTTATAGATAAGATTCCATCGCTTACTGCTTCATATGCATTTATTCCGTAATCTTAACCAGATGTCAGGGTTCACCGCCCTGTTTTCAACATTTATATATTAGCGTAAGATGCACAATTAATGTTCCTGTTACTATAATCGTAATCACACCCTTTACTTTGCTTAAGTATGTAACACTCCAATAACTGTAAGCTCGGCAAACTGTGTTACGAAGTTACAATAGATAACCTATGGAGCGAGACTGTATCTCATTTGCCCTTCTCATTCCCCGAATCAGCCCTCACGGGCCAGGACCTAAGAGGCACTCTTTTGTGACGGCCGTCGGCACAAAACTCGGACACTAAATATTTAAAATGAGCAAAATAGCCTAAGACCCGACGGTGTCGCCACAGCATTTTAATTTTCCGTTGCCATGGTCACCTTAAAATACTTAACATGTCAACTTGTGTCAACATTGTGACGTGTTGACGGCGCTGTCAATACCGTTGTTTATAAATAACTGATAGTTAATCTCTTCAGTTTAAAGGTTTATTCGTTGCAAAAAATATTGAACACAACACGTTCGTGAGCCTGCTTCCCGCATTCACGCAAATGTGGCACGACCGAAGGGAGCAGGCTATCCCGAACTAGTTGTGTAATAGTAATTTCCTTACACCTTTAGCTTGGTAACATTACTGGCCCCAACCAACATCGATCCACGGAACTTCGGTACTCCGCACATTGCGATTCAGGGAGCACAACTCAAGTAGAGGGAGTGGTGTGGGAAATACTCATCGTAATTTTAATAATAATGAAAAAACTTTCAGAGTTTAAATAATATATTCGTAGTCACTGCTACACGTGTTTCGGTACACAGTACCGTCTTCAGGCAGAAGAGAAAGTGTAGCACTGTGTACTGAAACACGTGTAGCAGTGACTACGAATATATTATTTAAACTCTGAAAGTTTTTTCATTATTATTAAAATTAATATGGAGTTTAAACACGTATCAGCCTCATCAATACAAACAATACTCATCGTGATACTCGAACTCATTGCTATTAATCTGCCTTTGTTTCATATACTATCTAATCGTTCGGGCTCAGTGTGCCAGCTAGCTACCAACAGCAGCAGGCCGTCCACCCCGACACACTTCGGATTCACATGGGGCTTCCCTGGGCGCCGCCAAACCTTTAAGCCAGCCTCTTGAAACAACCCCCAGGCCTACGACATCCCAGCGCAGTGCCCAGGCCTGTCACATTCCTTAGGCCGCAACATGTAACATGGACTGATGGTCCCCCGACGTCATCGCCAGACCCTCAGGCAGCACTGCTTTACGAACCCAGTCACAAACCAGCCGCCCAGGAGAGCTCGAACAGCTCTTCTCGTGCTGGCTCGGCGAAGCCGCCACGAATCCAGTGCAGCGCGTGAAATCCAGTGTTGTACCAGAACATCTTCAACCGAGAACCATACTATCCCTCGAGATGGAGGGGAAAGGATTTACCAAACCCGGAATCATTGTCCAGGTAGGAGTAGCTTAGCGTTAGTACGCTCCCGGCAACGAAATTGGGAGTTAGTTAACTTTCACGCTTTAATGAACCCTACAATAACAGTACCGTCACTACTGGACTGTGTCGTTGTAGGCCTGTACGTAGTTGTAAAAATTGCGTGAAAATATGATCACTTTGAAGCTCACATTTTCGTCTTAAAACAGGGAGTGTTGTGATGAACCAGAAATTCAGCCCTTAAAATAGCCCTATTATGGCGCATGGTGTCTCTTCCATAACAAACACCCATCTTTATCATAAAGACCAAAAACCCGAATTTAACATTATGATTATTAACATAATCATCAAGGCAAGCGATTACCTCCCACACATTTCATATTTTCAGATCTCTGCCCAATCAAATGGCCTTAATTGCAATTAATATACCAAGTTGTGCCGGTTCATGGAAGACCCGATATCGAACTGTAAAACACTTGCAGTCAAGGTCGATAAGTCTGACCAATTCACCTGCATTCTGGATGGTCGAACGGCGATTATTTATGGGAAATGTCCGGCGACAAATCGCGAGAAATAGATTTTTTTGCATTTACCATGCTGTCCTCACGCTTGCAAACCACTGTAAAAAGGACATAATTGGACTAACAAATTTTTTCTAATCTAGTTCAGTCTTTAGGTCAGTTCGACTACTTCCCAGTGTGATCGCTATATCCAGCTTCCTGTCGCCGGGACTTTGTAAAATAGTGGCAGGTGCATCTTTAAGCCGCCCTTCTTCAGCCGGTAGTAGAGGCGCTTCGCCGAGCTTCCCGCTCCGATCTTCCACCGAGCTGCCGACTCGACAGCAAGTCCCACTGACCTAATTATGCTGTTCTGGTCTTGTAACGACCGCGTTACCGGCTTTTATCTATAACTCAGAAGTGATTTTAACACGCTGCCATTATGAATCGCGTAGAGCAAGTATTATTATTAACCGGCCTTATAGAATCTTCCGGCTTGATCTGCGGCCACGGTCCCGACCCGGAAGGGTTCGGGCACCCCGTTTCTGGCCAACTGTCTGACTTATCACCATTCTTTTAACGAATGGACAGTTCTTGTACCCACCTCGGGCTGTCTCATCCACTATGAGCGCCTGGAGTAAGGGAGAGCATACCCCGCCGACTTTGCGAGGCACTCTCACCCCTTGTATGTATCATGACTACCCCCAACAAGTTAATTTTAACCCATCCGAGTATAGGAATCATAGCCCTACTCGTCTTTTCTATTCTAGTTTCATGTTCATGATCATTATCATTATTTCCAACTGTTCAACAATTACACATAAGTAACCTGTAATCGTATTAGATGAGATTTGATCGCTTATTGTTTTGTTATGCAATGCAAAGGCAGACGCCAGTGTCCACCGCCCTGTTCTCTATATATTTTAGTTTAGGGTTTATGGTTTTATTTCGGTAATTTTAATCATCCAATATTCTCCATTAATTAAAATTCGAAGTGTTTAATTTATATTTTATTTTTTTATTTTTAGCTTTTTTGACAAGCAATAGAACTACTCTTTTTTTAATTCCCTTAGAAAAACCTACTCGCTAAAACAATAACGTCACAACAACTCGTTTTTTCGTTCTCTTGTTTTGTTTTTTTCTGTCTATCGAATTTCTTGGGAATTATCTTTATCGGTTTTATATCAAATAACCGTCGTTGTCACAGGAGGAAATATATTATTACGTAGACTGGTGAATAAAATCGGCGTGGGTAAACTCAACAATTTTTTTCTTCCTAACTCAAATTTACACAACTAACTTTTACAGCGATTATGTACAAAATAAATCTCGCTTAACTTCATTGGGTTTTCTCAATACTCGTTGGACTCGAGTCGACTCAATAATAATCGTTCCCGACGGTGGCCTCTATTTAAACCTATACGTTCCTATCGATGGTTCGAGAACGCCTCGCCGCCCGGCCGATGAGTTATCACCGCCGTACATACCAGAAACAGAATAAACAGATAAATACTAGGTGACTTATAGGCGTCGTACCGGGGCGGCGTATGGGTTTCTTTCGTTAGCGCTCAACATTAGCGTTCGCTGCATGTGTAGCATAGATATGAGTAATATGTTGCAAATACGTATATTCAATTAATTTCACACCAGTACAAATTAAATAAAATAAACAATAATATTAGAACACAATCTAGACTATGTTTATGCTGACTTTTCTGCCGGTAATACGTCATTTACCTGGTGGTCGGGATATATTGTTCATTGAGCCTTTATGCGAGGTGGTTGAGTTCTCCACCTCCGCTTATCAATGGATGATTTGCTATTTTTCCGTTGTTACAGCTCGACGCATAGCAGCGGTGCATCCCCAGCACCGAAACAGAGCTGGAATAGCAGCGACAAGGAGGTTCGTGAGTATATTTGTTCTCCTGCTTTTCTTTCTTCTAACATTTTGTTTTTGCTTTTACCGGAATTTCTTTGGGACCACCGGTGGAACCTGAGCTTAACCTTGATATGTGATGTGGTTTTGGTTTTGTGAGTGTTTTCCTCTATCCTTTTATCTTAGTTCTGCTTAATTTCTGTATTATTTTTTGTTTTCTTTTTCCATACATCTCCCTTTCTGGATTTTAGATTTTAACTTAAATTTTGTTTTTTTTTTTCAGCTCACCAACTGGGGGGGGGAGCAATTTCGATTGACACGGAGTACTTGTGGATCTCAGATCAACCCGGCCTTTGCTTCCCCAACGGCAGGAAGATGGTAGTTGATCATTCCGACAACCACGTAGCCCTCTACATTAAATTTTTTATCGATTTTTTTTGTTGTTTTTTTTTTTGCTTGAATAGATAAGATTTGTATTTTTTATTGTGATTTTTTTCCACACTGTATATTAGTAAAATTAAACACGATCATTGTAGCTTAATCAGTTATGATAATTCATAATTATGTATAATTTGAATTATTTGTACATACTCGTATATTTATACTTATGAAATTATTTTCCACTTCATTGAATAATTTCAAAACCCCATTTGCGTAACAAATCAATGCTTTAAAAGCCTCAATCGACAATCAGCGCCTGCCTGATTCTTCTAGTTTCCTGCAAAATGTTATCCAACAAGTGCTCCAAAGGCAAAAGCGCATAATTTTTAACGTTCTGAAGAATGAGTTGAACGTACTGCATCTGAATTGAAAACTGTCTCCGAAATACGTACTACATATAGCAAATAACAACATTTGTATCCCAAATCTTCTTCATCTTCAAAGACTTGGAAAATTTTATAAAAAACCGTTCTCGTTCTATTAAAATATAATTAAGCTCAGAACGCCTAAGCAAATGGAATATGTATTATAAATTAATGAAGTCGCAGTTTATTAAGCGAACTTATAAATGTAAAACTGATAGAAAAATCAGATATTTTAACGGTGTTCCATGTATTATTCGCAATTTAAATTAGATGCTACACTCAATTACATCCTTTTTACTCAGCTATTTTATCAAAATGTGCGTAATATTCTGCCCTCGTTCTATATCAACCGATCAAATGTACTTAATCGGTAAATATGGGACTGTTATCAGAGATCCGCAAACCATCCAATCAGGTTCTTTTTCGGTTATATTCTGTTCCTACGTGCCCTACTGCTGGAGTCTGTCCTTTAGAGCCTTGATCATGTTTCTACTTCATCCACGCGCTCAATCCAGCGACTGGGCACTCATCTACCTTTAATATGTGCGCCCTTAACACCCCAAATATTACTCAGTACGAATGGTTAGACTAATTCCACTTCCCCGGGGGTTTTCTCAAATGTATATTTTGCACATAATGCTATGAGAAGCGCACACAAGTCTGTCCTCTTCTTTTAAGCTAGCTTAATGTTTATAGTTATTGTCATTTATTGTTCTCTCTGATGACACACAATCTTTTCCTAGTCTTAGTTACGAATAACGAGCCATCATCTCGTTATGTCTCGTTTAAACTTGCTTATTAACAGATTACTATTGGAACAAACCCGCTTCACGTTTAAAATTACCCTTCTGACCTTCCGAAGCGGTCCTTCACAGGTCCGGGACCTAAGGCGCAACTATTGTAAAGGCCACCGACGAAAACTCCGACACGAAATATTCCTGCGAAGTCGACGCTAACATTGATTTGGTTGTTGATCCATTGGGTTTTTTTCAGCACGTCTTCTTACTGTGCCAACAATACAATGTACAGATTTTTTTTTAATTAAAACAAATGTTCCAATTTAACGTAACAAAATTTAACACTTTAAACTTTACTTTGATATTTATTAATAGCAACGCTAGAATATGAGATGGCATAACTCACTGTTAGACGTTCTACACATAATAATTCAAAATTCAACATATCTATTTTCTATTACTTGTACAAGTGGACCACACACATGTACGCTAATTTGCCTCAGCAATTCAACATGATTCGAGTTCTTGCTAAGGATCTCCCGAAAACCATATATCCTTACTTATCTAGAAAATCCGAACAAACCCATATATTTCCCTTTGTTCCATTTCGCCATTTTCACCAATCCCTAGGTTAAGTGTTTACGGTACCACATCTCGTTTCGTCCTGAAACAGTTGTTTAAAGGTAATGTGATAATTAGGCTTGATTGGCTTGTCTATTTGTTTAACTTAAAGTACTGGCACAGTTAAAACAACAACCAGACTAGTGTTTTGTTAAATTGCGAAAATAATCCTGGTATCAACAATTGAACGATGCAATGTCCTCACTCCTGCATCTACATGTGTATGTTTGATCAAAGAAAAGTAAAGATTGAAAATTTGATCGGATGCAAGCTTCGATCTTAGCTACCACAGATGGGATAAAATTATAGATTCCAGGTTTGGAAATCTGTTCAGAAGTACATAATTGAGGGATTTTTTTGCGGTTTCAGATCTACGGCTAAACGTCCTAGATTAAGTTCACGAACCAGAGGGTCACCCTAAAGAGTTGTTCGATAAATTTGTATGATCGTGATTCAGCTGTTATTATAATAAAATTTCATTGCTTCCTTCTTAGTGCACAGCCGCTGGCTTTTATCTTCATTTAAGTAACAAGTTGTGATGTTTTTTTTCCAAACTTTTGGTTATCATTGCATGTTTGTTTGTTCTTTTTTTTTGTAAATTAAATTTGATCACTAAAGGGTGACCGATTTTCGAGAGAAAGGTGGATTTTCATTTTTGCGGCCAATCTCTGTTTTGTAGATCCCTTTTGGTTATTAAAGTTATTAAAAACACAATGGTGCCATTAATTACGTCCGGCCCTAGAACAGCGAAAAGGGAAGTTTCGAAAGGAAAGAGAATTTCCATTTTAATGTGATGTATAGATATATCATTTTTCACGTAGACGATCACGGACATTCACGCTACCAATTTAATTTAATTCTAAACCATACATATTATACTTTGTATTCACCCTAAGCTAGTTTGCTAGGCTGGTTACACAAATATCCCGTTTCCTATTTCATTAATATTTCTTTAGATTTATTATACAGGGTCGCTAGAATGTGTGAAATCGGTTGAATATCTTAAGAACCAATTGTACAAGTCAACTGAAATTAGGTATAAGAAATTGTGCTCAAATTATTCGTCAAAAAAAATTTTTTTTGCTTCATTTGTTTACGAGATGCAGAGCCAACTTAATTTGTTTTAAAAGACACTATCATATAATTAATGCATTTTTTAATGGAGCTTTTTTCCATACATTCTAGCGACCTGTATAAATGTATCTTCCTTTGGAATAGTTCTTAAATAATCAAAATCAGTATTTTGTTTATAATTTATTTCAACAGTTTTAATCTAAAGATAACACACTTTCAACACTCCGTCGATTACGTGGAGCTAGTCTTGGACCACCCAAATAACTTATAGGATTTCCGAATTTTCTTTGATGATCATTTAAAAATACAGGTTTAAGGATGTTACCAAATCTGAATAGTTTTTCCAGCGAGGACTTGTCTAAAATATAAATAACATGATTGAAACATACTAAACCTAGAAAAATATCTATACATATGTTAATTGTTACCTTTTGCTTGAATCTCTCCGTCAAGATCATTATAAGATGCATGATTTCCGTTAGAAATCTGTTGTCAAAAAAAAAACACCAAAAATAAAATAAAATGTGTATATTTGCTAAAGATGATTCAGTCGACAGTGAATAACACAAAATTAGGTGGTAATTAATACTTTGAACAAAAATGTTTTGAACAGTATTATTTACAGTGAAAGTTAACCCAGTACCGGTGAAGATGTGCCAGTGAATTCTGAACTTCCCATTTCATCAATCATATACGGTAGTTGGGTGGCTAATGGATTGTTGTGCGGAGGTGGACTTCTTATGCGTGCCCTGATAGGTGGTGTCAAATGTACCTAATAATGAATATTCTACATTTTAACTTTGTGCAGGACAGTTTGACCTCATGCTGTGCGACCTATTGAAAATCATGCGTAGCCAAGCGTGGACATAAATATATATATGCTGTCAGTTCATGCCAAACAGATGCAGAATAGAGTGCAACACTCATTCATGTAGCCTTTATTTAAAAAATGTAATGTCACAAATTGTTGTTAGTCATTTATTTATGGGAGTTTATAGTATATTTAATTTTCACTTTGTAAATTTAACGTGACCTCACTAATAGAACTGTAAGGTGCCATTGCTGCGATGTTACTTACAGGTTTCTGTGTTAACTCCTCGTCGGATTTATTATTTTCTTCTTCTTCTTCTTCCTCCATTGTCGTTAACAATTCAGAACTTTCTTCAGGTGTATCCCAAGCTAATTCGCTAGCACTGTCTGAAAGGATGTGAAACAGCTTATATCGTTAATTAATAAATATTTTTTATTGTGTGTAGAAAATTAAATATTGTTTACCGACCAACTGTGACCGTAAATTAATAACAATGTAATTGTATTTTTACATCGAATATAAAAAAAAAACACGAGAAATGGAGCAACAAAAATGGTATTTATATATACAGAGGTTTCAAAACACTATTCACAATCGCGTAAAACGTTTTTAGAAAAATTCGTCATTTCGTTATATAGACAACCCTTATGCTTTCAAAAATGTAATGATTGGTAGTGTGGTTCTTTTGCCTCCCCACTCCCCGGTAGACGGTCAGATACGTAGATTCAGTTAGTCAAAACGAAAAGACGCTGGAATGTGGGTGCTCGGGGTGTGTTTCATTTTATTTGTAAATCTACAGTAAATTAAAAGGGCACCATTGTTACCCTCATATGAATATAGTATAAAATGATTTTATTCGCACAATGCGTCATGTACTGGCGTTAAGACCACCAGCATCTGATATTGTTTCAGGACACGTTCGTACTCGTAAAAATAAAATTGTTAAGTTATTCCATACGATCTCTTATTATTCGATCGAAATTATGCATTTTATTTTCTTGTATTTATGACGACGTTGCATTATTTTGCTCCACACGTAACACGTTTCTGATTTTATTGAAACTAATATGTCCCAAAGTTTTAATGCGATTTGTTTTGCTGTGTTGCTATTGTTGTGATGTTTAATGTACATGTTGATTTGAAACAATTCACTTATTGAGATCTATTTGTTTTAATTGTGATATTTTTAATGGGGTGGATGATGTTTCCTAGGTTATTATTTGGAATTAATAACTTCTCCACGATTTTTGCAATATAAAGTAAATTGCACTATTCAAGATTTATTAATTTTAAACATTGATCCATTTTGAAACTTGTTATGAGTATAATAAATGTCACCGTGGATTCAACGTGGGAAGAGGTATTTTATTTTATGCTGATTTTGTCTTATCATTAATGTTCTATGACGACTTATTCTCGGACACACCCAGAGATATGTAAAAGACAGATGCGGTTATAACTTTCCCCATCTAGGGCCAACATCTATGATCTAAGAGTAGCAATACTTTGTGTCGCCTATCCTTTTCTATATCAGCACCAGTACTATGGAATGCTAAGTGTAGGCTACATCGATCACTCTCTAAAAGGTGGTTGTCTTGTTATTGGCCCGTTCTAATGGCGGCAATTATAAATAATCATAACCACCCACAGTCTGAGTGGTCTGACAGGGACCGGCACAAACACAAGAACGGCATCAACGACAAACGTTGCGCCAACTGATTGGTTGCGCCGTACAGAGCGAGACCTTCAGATATCGGGTTACCTTTATACGTGCTAGAGAAAAAGAGGGAGATATAAACGTACAGTGACATCTTGGCCCTAAACGTATGTCCACGAGAACATTAAATGTCTGTATCTAGTCTTTTACATATCTCTGGACACACCTCTCAGCGAAGTGTACCAAAACTACACTACCAAATTTACTACAGCGTGAAGTACTGTTTGAGTTGGCAATAGAATTAACCAACTCTGGCTTAAATCAACGTAAAATAATATTGCGCAATTATTTTATAGTTAAGGAGTCATACAAAAAATTTTAGATGGGACTTATCGCGAAACATCTTTATCACTCTGTAATAATAATAACTTTATTCAGCCGTTACATAGAAACACTACATTTGGCATCGTTCCACATAAAAACATGTATACAATATTCTACAGAAATAACATGTAATGATTTTTTGAGTCGGCAAACGCCTTATCGTTCAAAATATCAGTTTCGTGCACCAACGTACTATTTCACACACTGGTTATCCAAAGAAAATGGATCCATCGCTGACCCAATGTGCGAGTACGATCGCTGCGCTCGTCGTGGTCAAAACTCATTCGTGCCACAATAATCGCCTAATGAAATACGTGTAATAATGTACTAATGTCTGCTCCCAATATGACTAATTCACCAGCCTATTTTTCGCCCTAGCTTGTATATGTCTAGCTATTTCAGTAAAATCTGCTACAGCATAGATGACGCAAAATGAAGGCGCAGAAAAGGTGTATAATCATGCATGTGTAGGTCTAGTCGACGCCATTTTAGAGTCTACGTTTAATGCTGTTAGTTCGCAGTTAACCAACCGGCGTTAAGTCATCAATATTAGCAAGACCAATACTTCTTGAATCAATTTTCAAAATATGTTTGGTATCATAATAAGTATTTGGTTTTCGTTAAAGCTTTTCATACAAAGCCCTGATACAAAAAATAATTTACCTCTGAAACTGATCCGTTTTTCTCGTTTGCTATCAACTCTTTTAAGATTTCTGGCTGGAATTTCTTCCAACGAAAGTGTTTCCTCTGCCGGTATTGCAGTTGGCTCATTATCTTTCTTAACATTATTGGCTCCATTTACAGTTTCGTTTGGTAATTTGCCATTTTGTGTTGGAGGTTTAGAGCCCGCGTCTGACGACGCCTAAAACCGTTCATAATAAAATAATAATAATAATAACCATGAGTTCCATTACTTGAACAAAGGGTGTTTCTTGCATTTTAGCAGCTTGCTCTTTTGACCATAATATATTTGCATCTGTTTCAAGTTCTTTTCGCCGTCTATATTGTTTATCGGTGCGATATAATTCGTAAATACAACAAATAATAATTAAAACAAAAAATACGGATAATACGACAACGACGATTTTATCTACACCTTCTTCTTGTTCAGTCGTGGCGAGATAGTCCGAAACATATAAAATTCTTTGAGGGGCATCTTCCACCCAAGTCTTATCTTTACCCTGTAACAATTAAAACGCTGTATTAGTTTGAAAAGTATACTTTTTCAACAACATAGTTACTTGACTGATGTTGAGGTTCGTCGTGCCTGGTGTTTTTTCATGGAGAACGTCAAACTGAGTACTGCACTGAGCACTACGAACGCCTTGAGGATTTGACACATTTACTTTTTCCGCTCCTGTTTTAGTAAACAACATGTATTCTTCTAGTGGCTTCATGACATGTTCATTGACTTCGATTAAAATATCTAAAAAGAAAAACAATCATTTGTTAATACATGATTTTTTTCTTTTAGGAAAAACGTAACAAGTTTCCGCGGTTTATCTTTATATCAAATGACTGAATCACGTAAGATAAATCCTTCTGGTACAACTTTAGATGATAGATTTGCATGTCTTTTCCAATTTTTTTTTTTTTTTTAGAAAAATTATTAAATATGTCTTCAAAAATACTCCTTGCTGGACTGGTTATGATTCAGACGCGAAGAATATTCAGTATTGTTACGTAAGAAATCATTATTATCAAACATGCACAAGAATATTAATTTCCCTGACTATTTGTGTAAAATATAAGAGTACTAATTTTGAAACTATTATTTTATTCTATTAGTAGTTATCAACGGCATTTTCGCCATATTCCTTGCCGTATTTTTTTTTCACAGTAATTGGTGGGAGTTCTGGACACTTTTTTACAGTCGATTAGTTTGGCCAGGACATTTGCTATCTTGGTTGCGACCAAGATTGTTATTAAATGTAACTTTTATGGTACTGGATACAAATTTTGCTTATGTCAAACTTTCAGATGTAACATTAAAAATACAAGTTTAAACCATACTTCGTAAGTTTAATGTACTAGAATCTTTGAACAGATGCAATAATCAAAGTGCATGAACAGTGCGTGACCCTACCGTGCGTATTAGTTAGAAAACAATTGTTAATCCAGCTCTTGTCGAGTGTTTATGACTCATTCTTTTTGTAGATTTTGTTGTGGTTATGTGAAGGTATGTTGGTGCTGTAGGCGATGTTTGACCGTTTTATTTCGTTAAGCATGATTTTTTTTTTCATTGTTTTAGTAAAATGAATCATTTAAGGTTAGTATTTAAGTTAGTTTTCGTGCTTCTCTTGCTTTTACTAGTGGAAGCTTTATACTGTCGTAAGTGGGTTCCGTTATGAATTAGGTTAACATATTTTAGTTTTTTAATAAATGCATTATATAATACAGTGAAAAATTGAATTTAATATGTACTCCTATAAATTATCAAAAATCTTCATCAGCATTGTAAGCAGTTGAACAAGATCTTTATTCTTATACGATTCAGTGCATGAATTTGTATGTGATTTGTAGAGGAACACTTCAAGTGAGTACTTACTAGACAAGCAGCCACTGTAACCTTTGTATATCGCAAATCTAGGATCATTTGTGTTGTGACCGCCAATTTGAACTTCATTAGCTCCCAGTTCCGGTACATTAGTAAACGTCTGCGCCTGAATTTGTTGCATTTCGATGATCTTTCGATCTACCAGCAATTCCGAGTCATTATGGTCTCTTCTATAATACACAGAGTGACGAGCTCCATTAATAAAACTTTTTTCTTTAACGGTTGCTTCGAAAACAGCACCTTCTCTGTCCTCTTGTATAATCAAATGTCCATCTGGGCTCAGGCCAACCAGAAAATAAAAACTTCGGCTAAAAAATTGGTAATTTAAGAGATACATTCATTGTGCTGGTACATAACAAAAAAAAAATCAGTGCCCGACTATAGTAAAGAGCTGAATCTGCTCATTACCTCTGCTGTTAATTTAGCTGGATTTTCTTTAAATTTCATTAAATTAGTAAGCTGTAAAGGTGATAAGTATATGGAAAATACAACGGAAAAATGTTAATCACAAGATTACAGTAGATACATCCAATATTAGTCTTCTACATGCGTCATAATTTAACAAATAAAATAAAATGTGAAGGATAAACAGATCTTACTATTGACTTTTAAAATAAAAATAATCTACAATATTAACGTAGAATTACTTGGCAGCAGTAAAGCGAGAAATCATACTTGTTTTCAGTTTGCAGAAGTAATAAGACGGTATTCTTCTGTCTGACATCCATGCTCGAAAACGCAAGTTGTATTTTAACATGATCCACGGAACCATTCAAGATATACTCTCTCCATAAGATGGATTCTCCACTGAAATCAGCTCCTTTTTCTTCGGAGCAAAAATCACCATAATAACTTGTATGTTCACAATCACACGAATGATCTTGGCTCCTAAAGTTTTCGATGCAAATGCCCCCATGTTTGCATGGTAACGTATCGCATTTCATACTACAGTTCGATTTAACGCCTAATAACAATTTAAAAAGAACAGTGACCTTTTGATTATATAAAACAACCATTACCTTCATCAATGTCTGTAACTTTAGGCGGGAGATCTATCAGCGTTTGTCCAATTTGAAATCCTCTCATGCATCCCACGTATCCCGGCAAAATGGGTGGATCCTCCGCTACTTTTAATAATGTTTCAGGGTCATATCCGCCTAAATTTAATTGAAAGTAGTCAGTGGGAGGCGCGGGTGGTCTTTGTGGAGCTAAAACCTCTGAAATAAATCTCTATTACAACTGCATTCAAAATGATTCAAATTAATTCACACCCTTTTCTGGGTTAATCCATGGTTTATTAGAGTATGTGTCTAACAACAAAACTCCCATCGCTAAGCTTTCGTTTCGATCGTTTACGTACATCGTAGTCTTGTTCTCGCCACGTTCAATTGCGATCTGTACAGATTTACTAGAATTTAATTCCGGATGTTCGACAGTTACGTCATAGATTTCACTGCCGTAGTTAAATAAGAATACAACTTGAGTACCGTTGCAGATATATAAATGAACAAAATTATTCAAATGATCATTTGCGTAGAAAATCAAAGCTAGTTCGTCGTATGTTCTTAGATTTATTAATATTTGTTCTTCAAAGATCTTTTTTAAAGCATTCTTGTCCATTTCTTCTTCTGTACTTAGGTAGTTCCGTCGGAGAAAAGATTCAGGTTTTGTGAAAGTTAAGGCGTTAACATTAATATCTGAAATTACAAAGGATTTTAGTATATATATTTACCTACGCAAATATATATGATATCTATTTCAGCATTATCAAGTAGTAAAATAATAATGTGTAATTATCCTCTAGTTGACGATGGATTATTGTCAACGTTTTTCTTATCTCCTCCCTTGTGTCCAGCCGATGATAAAGGCACCTTGATTCTCCAGTGCCAACTAGAGGGACATTTTTGTTGATTTTACTTGATAATACCATTTACTGCCTACTAAACAATGAAAATCACATCTATAAGCAGTAAATTACACAGTAGGTAGTTCTTAATTATGTGTATAATAATTCTGAAGAAACTACCATTTCACAATCTTCACACGTAACGTGGCTATTAAATCTTCTTTGTCATAATAAACAGTATTAACAGTATAAACAGTTATTAACAATATTTAAGGTATCACTTTAAAATGTTGTGATATATTAGTTGACAATATTAAAATTATCAGACTAACAGTTAACTCTAAAAAAAAATCCATTTTCACTAACACGGTGCAATGGTGCAGACATAACGTGTGTACCTAAATCATATAAAGTGGAAGCGTAATTGTGTACTACTTACTTTCTTCGCAGTGTACTCCCTTATATGCCCAGGGATTAGGGCATATACACTCAAATGTGCTCCACAGTTCTTTACATTGAGCTCCATTCTGACAAGGATTAGGTACACAGGAAGGTTTGCAGTCCTTGATAATTTCACTCAAGTGTACACTCATGTAACTATAAATGTCCAAAATTTCTTCATTTACAACTAAACCTCTAAAACATCCGATAAGGCCTTGATGTACAGATGCCTTTGGTTCGAGCCAGTCACTGTAATTATTTTACTGATAGAGATTTTAAATATAAAACAACACAAACCACATACTTTGGTGCTCCTCCAATAAACATTGAACCTTCGAAAGGCCCAAATTCTTCTTCAGGTTTTAGGTCATCCATAACGTGTTCTTCATTTAACATTAGTCGTACGTGATATTTATTATAGTCGATCCACAGTTTGTGCCATTCGCCTCCATTTAATTTACGATGAGTATTAATTATTAGTTCTTTTGAAACACCCGTGTTAAGTGTAAAATTAAAAGTCAACTGACCATCTAAAATTAACATGAAACGAATTAAACAAATATAAACTTACTCGTAAAGCAATAATGATTACCGCTAGTTAAAGCAATCATAAAACTTGGATAATTCGGTCTTATTGGTGGTTGATAAAGTAAAATAGCCTTTTTTCCAGTAGTTCGAAATGAGAAGGCCAAGTCACCTTTTCTCCATCCTGGCACTTCGATATATGATTGACTTGTTGTAAAAGTAACAACATACCTTTGAGTATCTAGAACAAACTTAAAATGTAAAATTTTGCCTGTTGCAAGTACTTCTTTAACAAACTAGTTTCAACACACTCCAAAGGACCTAAAGTAATTCGTCCAAGTGCTTCTTCAGGTAGTTCAGGATTTTGTAAAAATATCATTTTAGTGATACCAAGGCTATCAGAAGTAATGAAGTATCCATCGTCTGAGTTCCATTTATCGTCTGCAGCATCATCACAGTTGCACCATTGGGAAGGATTTTCACATTTTTTCCCAACAGAGCAAGGACAGGTTCCTCTGTAACATAATGATTAGGAAAAATATGTTTCGCGAAACGTATTCCCAAACCTTTTAACATCGCCAATAAAATCGACCGTTTCGTTAGCGGAACTTATAAACCACGTTGCCGAATGTAATCCTATAGGCGCTTTATAGCAATCATACTTGATATACTGGCTACAGTTTAGAGAGTGTGAAACTAATTCTTGAAGCATATCGGCAGTAAATTCTCTATATTTGATGGTAAAGCTGAAATCTTTCTCAGACGGCGATCTAACATCAATTTGACTGGGCAAGTTGTGTTCGACTATAGTTTTAGTAGAATCTTCTAAGCTTTGAAATTCACAACGAACATGGGCAGGAGGAAACCTTCCGTTTCCATCTATATCGATTAAATACACATCAGGTTTCGTGTAGCCTTTAAAAATTAAATATGAATATATGAAATAACAAATTAAATTAAATGCTTGCCTAACAACGCAAGTTCTTCACAAGTTTTTCTATATTTGGTAAAATGGCAATTTTTGCCTGTATAACCGCTGTCGGTGCAATCACAGATAAGTTTGTCTTCCTTCACTGAACATTTACCACCATGTTCACATGTGTTTGGTCTTAAGCAAGGGTCGACAAATTTACAGTTGTCTAAGGTGACTTCTCCCACTACTCTCTCAGACTGTAATACAGATCTTGGTTCTAAACTTTCACCGTTTACAGTAATGTCTCTCATGCAACCAACTAATCCCGAATTTGATCGAGATCCACTTCCCGCTTTAATTTTATCACCAATCGCAAATTTTAAATCCTCAATTCGTTCTTGTTTTTCCTTGTTATCGACTCTCAAAATGACTTCACCGCCAAAATATGTTAAATTCAAAAAGTGCCATATTTTCGGTGTTTTCTTAACGCTGATCAAATGAGTGATATTTTTGACCATATCCATCAATTCAAATCTTACTTCGTCGTTGACTACCCGAATTTCCCAGTACAATTTTGTATTTGTTTCGCTAGACGCCAATACACTTAAATTACTACTGCTTTTAAAATTAAAGCTTATCGATAAGTTGTCTATATAGTTGTTTAGCCACCATATGTGTGAAGAAGCAAAAGGAAATGTAATTGGAATTTCTTTCACATCGGTTTCATAAAATTCTGGACGTAAAATTCCTATATAGTGCACTTTTGGGTTGTTTTTATTTAATTCGTATATAATTGAAATGTCATTAAAAAACACATATTTCAGTGATCCTGCGAAATTGTTCTTTGATTTTAATCCCGTCTTCTTCTGCAGTTCAGGACCTCCACCTATATAGATTTCAGGATCTATACACAGCATTGGAGAACCACTAATGTTTAATACAACATTTTCGTTATTCAAAATTAAATGAATTTTGTCGTGATCGTGAAAAATCGTCAGGTTGTTCCACTGATTTAATTTAAAATCATTGATAAGTCCCAGAACGCGACTCATGGACTGACTACCGAAATCAAGCTCGATGTGTACTGAATTATTGTAAATAGATGCCGCAATATAATGGTCGATTCCATGCTCTCCTCCTGCTGCATAAAATAGAGCAGAATCATCAAATCTTGTCTTAAACAACATCGAAAAACGGTTAATAGAAGAATGCACTCTATCTTTCCAATCGTAGACTCTATAAGAAACGTAGGACGATCCCCGAAGTGTCAATACTGTGGCAGCTAAAAATTGTTACTCGTGTAATGTGCAACTAATGTTTAGCAACTTACTATAAATATCGCAGAACTCTCCTTCGTATAAAGTACCAAAACAATCACATGTTAAAGAATTGTAGTGGTTAATACATCGGGAGCCTCTAAAACAAAGATTTTCAGAGGTCTGACATTTATCGACGCAACCTTCTTGAACGTTCTCGTGTTTAGTTGCTATTAAAGGACTAATAGGCAAGAGATCAGATGCTGATTTGCCAGTACTAAGAATTACATCTTTTATACAACCAACGAACGATTCTATGATGTACTTAACACCATGAAGCCGTTCTTCGGAACTCAAGCCTCCTATAAGTATTACTGATGTCACGTTCGCAGAAACCCCGTAGTTAGTTTCTTTATCTAGTCCATCGAGGTTTTTTTCTTCTTTTTGATCATCAACAGTCGCCATTAAACGCCCTCCATGCACGTCAATTCTTACCTAAAATATTTTAGCTGTATTCATTTAAAAAAAGATGGAAGATCCTTACTGTAACTGAATGCCACTCATCTCTATTAAGACCTCTACCAACCGTTAGCGCAGTTGAATGTTTACCATAGACATGAACAACTTTTAATTGACCTTGTTCAACAATAATATACAAAGCGTACGGCTGCAATGAAACTCCGGCAGGTACTTTAACGTTATGGTAGACTAGAAGCCCATGTGGTAATCTTGTTCTAAATTGGAAAGAAATCTGCCGACACAATCTATGAATCGGTAAAGGTTAGCAATTTTTGCGTGCTTGAGGTATGCTGTTTCACCTCAACTGAAATGTTTGTATAATATCACCATCAATTTGAATAAACGTGTTAGATTGAGCAAACATAAAAGTATTGTGATTTCCTGTTTCTTGGAAGGTTAGTTGAGGCCCACGTTTCTCTTTCGGTACCGTAAAATTATCGGATTTAAAGGACCGATCTTCAAGAATTAATCAATAGTCCTATTCATAAAAAGAGAACACAGTGTACTTACATTTTAAGGACATGCATGTCCGTATGCACTGGATTTCGGTGTTAAATCTGTTTTTGTCGTTACCAGCACAGCCACCCCAAACAAATATCACACATTTATTTTTGTCGTGATCAAATGCCCACTTATATAAAATTCTGTTACAAGGACCCTTATCGGGAGGTCCTGGACAAGGATGACCAACATCACGATCAGGTTTACCCAAAACAACTGTTATGGCTACGCCCAAATTGATTAAAAACAGCCACATTCTTCCTAAAATAACAAGAAACTAATAATTTCAGGTTACGTAATAGATTATTAAACTTTTTTTTATACTTCGGTAGATATTTCATTGTTTTTGGGTCAAGAATAAATATGGTACCGTACGCTTAAGCAGTAAAACTATTTATCAAAAATTCACTTGCTATTTGATCGTTAGTACATATTTCGAAAATTTTTATTGATATTAGTACTGATAAGTAAGGTATCTAAAGTTTTCATGTTGAAGATAATTTCTAAAAAATTAATACTGTTCGAAATGAATATTTGTCAAATAGAGTAAGCCAGAAACAACGAGTTTACGTCATGATAGGTACTTTATTTTGTTTATCCTGTTATCGGTCATGGAAAAAATTCTGTCAAAAAATGTTTCCAAATTTTTATATGTTTGTTTAGTAACCTTCAAAATATTCCCCTTTTACTTTCTCAAGAGATTACATAAACATGTCAAATACTCGTTAAAATCAAAATGTCACATTACTGGAGATTTGTTCTAAGTTGGTGACACATAGGTACTCGAAAAGATTAATCGCAGTATTAAGATGTAATAAGTAGGTAAAGACCGACTGATGTTATCAGTTGAAAGATTTATTAATGACTGAAATTATTATACGAATAAATCATACTTATTACATAAAAATCATAAATGACCTTTATGAGAATTCACAACAGGTTGTTATTAACTAAGAGATTACTTTTCTGCTAATGATTAAAAAAGTGGTTCATCAATATATTGTATGTATCTGTTGTTAAATATATTGAATAATTTCATAGAGTATTCTTTTCTAAATCATATTCATTAAAACTGGGTGAGTCGTTGTGCAACAAAGTTATTTCCTTGACCGTTCCTGACAAAAACAAATATATATACATACAGTTGCCGCCAAAAAATTTCAGACGTCAATGTCATTCAGTCGTCAGATAGTGTAAAGCAACCTTTAGATGTTTAGGTATTTTGAAAGTTTGACATTCCAGGTGTCCGAAATAATGACAATAAAGCATAGACTACATTAAAATTTTTGACATGACAGAAAAGTGATGTTTAAAATTTTTGTCGGAAACTGTATTTCTCCTATAGAAAGCTGACTCATTTTGATAACCTGATGTTTTTAAACTATAAATAAATCCGTAATGCAAAAATTGTGTTGAATTATTTTCATTAAAACCAATATCAGATCTAGATGTAAGATGCCAAAGATTAAGTCACTGAATCGGATTTTTGTAAAGAATGTCATAATACAAACATACATACCTTCATAATAATAAAAAATAAAATAATAATATCATCTCAATATCATTTACAAATTTACATTTACAAGGTATACACCGTGTTTCAAAAATGGCGCACTAACGGAACACCACGCAATTGAGCATTTTATAATGAATAAGGGAAAATTATGTAAAACATTCTAATTGACTGGTTGTTCATACAAGCTGTACATTTTCTTTGAATACTTTGTTCCACATTTTCCAATATTTCCTCTACGGCAATTGCTACAGCCTTGTGATTTTATTTCGGTGATATCCTTCATATAGCCCAGAAGAAAAAATCTAAAAGTTTAAGTCTGGCGAAGGAGTCCCCCTCGCCCTATCCAACGATTATTAAAATTTCTATTTTAGCCACCGTCTGACAGTAAAATGTGTAGAGGGCCATCAAGTTGAAACCACATGTTACGTTCTCTTTTAACATTCATACGATTGCGTAATATCTGTGGTCCAACAAGTTGATTATTAATTATTCCAGCCCAAAAATTAAAAACCAATTTAAGGTATGTTGATGTCCTCTTACTCGTACAACGTGTGAATAAAGCCCAACAGTAATTATTACGCACGTTGAAAATTCCTGCCCGCGTGAAAGTAGACTCATCAGTCCATAATATGTTTTTTTATAAAATTGTATCTTTCATATTCCCCGATCAGCCAACGACAAAATTCCATCCGTGGTTGATAATTTCTTGCTGCTAAAGTTTGGACTTTCGTAAAATGGTATGGATGTAAATTTTCTTTCTCTAATTTTTTTGCATTAATGTAAAGTGAATTCCAACATCTTGTACAACTGCTCTTGTACTTCGTCGGGGTTGATTTTCAAAAATCTCGATGACTTGTTCTTCTACTCTTGGTGTTCTTGTTGTTCGGGGGCGGCCTTTGTCGTGGTTACCAATCACTTGTGCAATGTTCCCAGTTTCTCTCAAACGTTGATTAAGTCTCACGGATACATTTTTGTCTGGGTAGCGTCTGCGAGGGTAACATAAAACGTATTCTTTTGACACAACAGTACAATTTCCATTGCAAGCTCCCACAGTAGAAAACAAATCACAGCAATCATGGGTGGAATACATTTTTAAAATTTAACGACAGAATTGTTACAATTACTAACATTTCGTTATTTTGTTTGTATTTTCGTTTAATATCATTACCATGGTAAGACACCCCAACAAAGGAAAGTATATCATTACTTTGCAGTGTTACCATTGTTGGTTTACAGCTAATTTCAAGGATTTTAAGGACCCTGTAGATTCTTTATTTTTAAAGATCAAATATTCTCAGTAATTGATTTTGTGATAATATGCTCGATTTAAGGTAATTTTAAAGAACATCAAATGAATAGATTTTTAATTAATTTACTTTTTAAATACCGTCTTTAAAGACCAGTAGATCAAAAAATCAGTAGATCAAAAAATAAGTAAAGAATTTTTTAAATATTTTTCTGGTGATGACTACTGTAATCCGTTCTAGTGCGTGATGCTCCATTTTTCCAACACCGTGTCTCCTCAATTAGTAGGTACCTACTTATAATAGAAAACTTGCAAAATTTGGTCACCGTTGGCCTCTAATCTTCATTTTAAGCACTACTTTGTGCGCGATTAAAATCGAATGTGAAAAACGAAATTTGTGCTTACGCAGGTTTTATAGTTCGTGTATATTTAAATTACTCTATATTCAGTATATCAGAAGGATGGTTTGTAGACTAATCTTTATAAAAAAAATATTTCATTGTGTATTCATTTGTAATTAACGCATGAAACCGATTTTTTTTTAATACGGTACAAAACAATTGTTTTTTATCTTATCTAATGATCTGAAACTAGGTATGTTTTTTATGTTGTAAATTTTGTTTGAATTCCAAGCAATACTTACATTCTTCAGTAATTTAAATCAACGCACGATATTAAAATCCACACCGACCTATTTTTTGCAACTGAGAATAAAGCAACATAATAAATAAAAGCAGTTCGTGAAAATAAGTTTACAAGAACTATTTTGTCCCTATATTTTGTGGAATTCATGAAGCCTGTTACTTTATTACTCATTTCCTTATTTTCAGATATTATTCCTTTTATGAAGTCTAATATAACTAATTCAAGGTTGTTTACAATAAAATTAATTTTGTATCTACGAGAACTAATATTCAGACTCAACCTATGTACTTTTTAGATAACTGTGCACTCATTTGTTATTATCAGCGTCGTTTATTTATGTCAGATTATACGACAGTGATATTATTTTAAACGTAACTTTGGAATACGGCATAAACAAGTTTATTGAATTACATGGATTTTGATACATCTGCAGAACTAATAGGCTATATGTTTTGTCAGGTGTGAAAAATATGAATTAACCGATAAATATAATTCCGTATGTAATATGTAATTCATCGTACTAACATACTATTTATGTACGATCACAAACCTCACCACTCCGCCTGGGGTATATTTTTTCCAGTTAAATAGAATGTTGCCAACATTTCTATTCACAACGAAAATATCATCCTCTAGCAAATGCTGGATCTTCAGTGGTGTTTCTCATTTCCGGCTATGACTAATACAACATGAGCACGACGGTTTGCTCGTCGAATGCTAGTTAAGGACATTTTTATTTAATAATTACAATAATTAATAAATAATAAATTTAATAATTCGTATATTTTGTAGGAAAGTACTGTTATTTTCTAATCAAAATGAATTGTTGTAAGGACAATTGGATCAAGAACTCGTAGGTAGGAGAGGTTCCAATTGGTTAACAAACTTCCTAACGTCCGTTTATTTAACTGTGTGGTACATTCTGCAAAAGTTTTTTCGTACAGTTACTGCAGACGCATCTCAGGAAATTGCGAAATCGAAATGAAAACAGTCGTGGTTTGGCAAAATCCAAATTGGTAATTGTGTCATACTTTAAAATGACGTACGGCCCTATTTTGTCAAAAGGTGACAGCGACATTGTCAAATTTGATGCAAATTCTAATATTGGCTGTGCGAATTTTTGAATTTTCAAATAATGCTTCAAAATGCTCTGTAGTATAGTGTTCGAAATATTACAAGGTTATATGGTCCCACTAAACTTAATAATGGGATGTTATATTTTGTGCGGCTGGTTACCGGCTCAGTCCTAGCGTCATGAATCAAGGATATGTCTCAATATCTTGTCACCTCAATATCTACTGCTGGGTAATCCCCTTGAACATTTTTGGTACATTAAACAAACACAAACACAAATTACAACTGTGGGTTTGCCTTATTAACTGCTCGATTGTCGTCTTCACAATACCCTAATTTTCCAACAACCATGTAACCTTGTAGCATTTCGGAAACTATACTTTTCAACGGCCGCAATTATACAGAAGTATGCAACGACGGCTTGTTCTGGCAGCAATATAAACCGACAACTTTCGTCCCTCTTTGACTATAAACAACCGTTTCATGCTACTTCTAAACAATCTAAGAGTAATAGATATACTCGTATGTTTTCTAATTAACTACTGGTTGAATTCATTATTTTTCAAACAGCAGGGACTATTTTCGGAATTCGAAGTTACTTGAGTGAATAGCGTTTATCATGAAACGTTATTGACAAAAATAATAAGCAATTAAATACAAAAAGAATAAATCGCCAAAAGGTGTTCTGAAACGACTTAGCACATTTTTCCGTGTAAAAGTATCTTGGTAAAAATTAAATACAGGGTCACAAGTAAGAACATGTGGAATAACATTAACTAG